TCATGACTTAGAGCTGGGGGCGGTGGTGTTCGCATTGAAGATTTGGAGACATTATCTCTACGGGGAAACATGTCATATTTACACTGACCACAAGAGCCTGAAATACGTGTTTACTCAGAAAGAGTTAAACATGAGACAGAGACGGTGGATGGAGTTAATAAAAGACTACCACCTAGTTATCGAGTACCACCCCGGTAAAGCCAACGTGGTAGCGGATGCCTTGAGCCGGAAGAATTCATCTGGGGCATTAGTGACTAGCTTGAGGGCATTGAGAGCCCAATTGGAGGTATCTAGCGATGGTGCCTTATTAGCCAGATTCGAGGTGAGACCCACATTACTTGATGAAATCAAGAAGGGTCAAGAAACCGACGAAGAAATTATGAAGATCCGTGAACGCATGCTAGCGGGACCGGTTGAGGATTTCAGGGAGAGAGACGATGGTCTCTTATTATTTCGTGACCGAGTGTGTGTACCGTTGGATGATGAGCTCCGAAAGTCCATCTTAGAGGAGGCTCATTCATCAGCGTATGCCATGCACCCGGGAGGCACGAAGATGTACCGTGATTTGAAGGAAAGTTACTGGTGGTCGGGTATGAAGAGGGAAATAGCCGAGTACATCAGTAGGTGTCTTACCTGTCAGCAAGTTAAGGCAGAACATCAGCATCCGGCTGGGTTACTACAGCCACTTTCCATTCCTGAATGGAAGTGGGAGCACGTGACTATGGATTTCGTGGTGGGGCTGCCACGAACGGTTAAGAACTATGATGCCGTATGGGTTGTGGTCGATAGGCTCACGAAGAGTGCACACTTCCTACCTATCAACACTACCTATGCATTGGAGAGGTTAGCCAAGTTGTATGTGGATGAGATCGTGAGGCTACATGGGGTTCCTATAACCATTGTATCCGATAGAGATCCGCGATTCACATCACGATTTTGGCCGAAATTCCAAGAATCTATGGGGACAAAGTTGAAATTCAGTACAGCTTTTCATCCACAAACGGATGGGCAATCTGAGCGGGTTATACAGATATTAGAGGATATGCTGAGAGCATGTGCATTGGAGTTCCAAGGGAGTTGGGACAACCATTTATCACTTGTGGAGTTTGCCTATAACAACAGTTATCAGGCAAGTATAGGCATGCCTCCATACGAGGCATTGTATGGGAGGAGATGTCGTACACCGTTGTGTTTGGATGAGGTTGGCATGGCCAAACTCGAGAGCACGGAATTGGTGGAGATCACCAAGTCTAAGGTGAAGATGATTCGTGAGAGACTTAAGGCGGCCCAGGATAGACAGAAAAGTTATGCCGACAAGCGCCGAAGAGCCTTGGAGTTTAAGGTGGGAGATGAAGTATTTTTGAAAGTTTCACCTTGGAAGGGAATCATCCGATTTCAGAGCCGAGGGAAACTTAACCCACGATACATAGGGCCATTCGTGGTTCTTGAGAGGATTGGGGCCGTGGCATACCGATTACAGTTGACTCCAGAATTGGAGAAGATACATAACGTATTCCACGTGTCCATGCTTAAGAAGTATATGCCGGATCCATCTCATGTATTAGAAAAACCACCCGTGGAAATACGGGAAGACTTGAATTATGCCGTGCAACCGGTGAAGATACTTGACAGGCAAGTCAAGAAATTGAGAAGCAAGAAAGTTCCGATGGTTAAAATCCTTTGGAAAAGTGACCGAGTTGAGGATGAGACTTGGGAGACGGAAGCTTTGATGAAAGGGCAATACGCGTTTTTGTTTGAATGAGCATTGTGAATTTCGGGGACGAAATTCCCGTTAAGGGGGGTGAACTTGTAACACCGACCCCGAGCATATTTACTTTTAGTAAAATATGTAATAAACCTTGAAAGATGATTTATGAATTTGCGTAATTGTAAATTTTTATTATTTCTTTTACGTGAATAGTAAATTGCATGTGGGGCCCACAGCGGGAACGTGGACCGCCCAATAATTCCCGAACCATATATTATATTCATCTTGGTCTAGATAATATGTATATGGTGGTGGATATTTTATTTGGGCCATAAGAAAGGCATGAAGTTGACCGGTTGGTCAAACGAGGCCCAAATTACCGGTATTGGCAATTTAACGGATAACAGCCCGAAATGAGTTTCGGAGACTCCTAAATTAATGATTGGGGAAAATACATCTATTCTAAAGGCCCATAAGTATTAGGGACGCGTGATATATTTTATTTGGCCCGATAAAATAAAATATGATTAAAACAGTCCGAGAAATACAACTTTCGGGGCCGATTGTACACACCGGGACATAACAGGATGACCTCCCACCTAAGTGGGGGCCACCCCACGTTTCTATAGACTCTAGCAGACAAGGGGAGAGCTGGAGGAGACAATAGAAAATGTGTGTGTACGGATTTTTAAGTGAGGGGATGGGTAGAGATAACCCATACACCCCATGTCCTCTCATAAGCATTATTTTAGGCCTTGATTAAGATGGATACTTCTCCCCTTCCATTTGACACCATACGAACAACCAGGAGGATAGATAAGCTCTAGCAAAGTCTCTAACAAAGTCCTAGCTTGGAGGAAGCAAGAGGAAGGAAATTCCAGTTGAAAACTAGCTAGGAAGAAGGTAAGAACTCAATTATCTTCTTGTAACTAGTTTTATGGTGTATGATTTTTAAGAAATCATATGGTGGATTAAACATGATGTTCTACACGTTTAAAAGTGTAGAATATTGATATAAAGTGGTGATATTTAACTTAGAAGAGTTGGTGAATCGATAGGGGTCGAAATCGCCGGAAACCGCCACTTTAAGGGAGCTGCCCGTTTCTGCAGAACACGAAAGCCACCCGGCTTTCGTGAAAGCCGTCCGGCTTTTGCCCAGCAGCTCAGTTTTACACCTTTAATCAGCCTAGAACGGGGATTGATCGAGGGGCTTAGCAAAGGCAACTATTTCAGCACTTCATAAGGTGAGGATGGCTGACTATATTGCTTATAATTAGTGAGTTAATTTCACGAGATTACCGAAGGTAATTAAATGTGTTTTTATGGATTATTAAGGATTAATAATGCCTAAAAATGAAAATACTAAATGTCTAAAGAAAAAGGGAGCATGATATACAAATTTAAGAGTAAATTGTGTATGTTCATGTGTTATGAGTATGTTGCCTTGAAAGTGGAATTTATTATGAAACATATGTTGAAATATACTTTTTCTTCATATTAGAATATATGAGTGATTAAAAGTGATATTTTGAATATTGAGATAAATGATATTTTCAAAGGAAAATCAGTTGGAATTGTCTATATGACTACGAGTTGAGAACTTGGTTTGTCGATATTAATTTGACTAGTGTTAAGATACTAGTTGGACATTAAAATGAAATGTTGTTAAGATTGATCCTAAGGTTGGATTGTGAAATGTTATGCCTTAAGTAGTCTTAAGAGATGCTTTAAGGTAGGAAAGTATGAACTTTAAGTTATACTAGGGGTAGGCCTTAGGGGATACCCAAGATAGTGTGAATATTAAATTGATCCTAAGTATAGGATTGGCCTACGGGCGTGATCGGTAATTCTCGTGGATAGCCGGTTGAATTATGGAAATAGTAGGGACCATGGCCCTTCCCGACTCTAGAGAGCGGGGTTGGATAGCATGGACTTACATCGTGATCACGGGTTAGGGTGGAATCCGAATCGGAGACCTAACTAGGTTCCGGTAGCGGTAACACATAAGATAGGACCCCGAAGGGCCTTACCTTCCTACGGGATGATGGGTACGAGTCTAGGGGCGGGATGTTGGAGTCCGAACCGGGAGCCTCATGAGGTCTCGGACAGCGGTAGCAAGTCCCGTAGAAATAATAGGACCCAAGGGTTGGGTTGTGCAAATGATAAATGAAAAAGGATTTATAAGAAGGGTTGTGTGCCGACAAATAAATAAACTTACTTATTATAAAGGTAATAAGTGGGAAATGTAAATTATATTTATATTATGATATCACCCTATTTTGAGGGTCTTGGAAATTAAAACGTTGATTATACTTAGTATAGTTGCTATTGTACTTGTCAAATATTTCCAAGTACTGACCTCCCCTTCACGGGGGAGGCCACCTCACAGTTTCAGGTAGGACGTGAAGGTTGCTACCGGTGCCCGTTGCTCGGGATATTCAGAGGAGAAGACGTGGTTCGTGCTTCTTCTGTTTTCTGATTTCAAAACAATTATAATAGTGCTCATGGATATTATTTTGAATAACTATTTGGGGGCTTGCATGCCCATGTTTGCCCAAGTGTGGCTAAGACATTTTTATTAAATGCTTCCGCTGTTTTAAATGAATGTTTTACATTATGTTTGTTTATGGATGTACTATGTGTGAATGATATTCATGACGCCTTGTATAGTATGGATGAGTTGGACTACGGTTGACTATTCGTACTGTACGGCGGGTTGTTGACGTGTTCGGCTAGGTCCGGGGCGTGACACTACATATATTTATGTGTGTACATACACTCCAAATTTTAGTTGGGTAGCAACACTCATGTGGACATTATAATTTTTTAATTAGTGTCTATTTATAAGGGGCTTGTGGCCCAACTCAAAAAACACAAATCCGCACTTGCTTATTATGAATAATTTATATGAATAGTTTTGTTGAAAAAACAATCTAAATATACCTAAATATATTTTACAAGATTTGAAGGAAATCCTAGCTTATTTTGGAAGAGTTGAAAAAATATTAGCGTTTATATACAAAAGGCTAGTGGGCCGGCACCAATTAGGATTTTACATTTCTGCGTAGTATTTCATATAGAATATATATGAAATAATTACATATATATAACTAAAATAAAGATTGTTTACAAAATATGATTAATGACTAAAGTAGTAGTGAAATCATAATAACTTATGTTCAATTTTTAAACTTAAGTTACCATAAAAATACATTGTAGTAACTATTAGTCATATTTGTGTAAATAAGTTTTACTTTAGTAATACTTTTGAAAAAGACCCCAATATATATAC